GCTAATTTCCCGCAAAATTATCCCGCAGAATTTTCCGGAGGCTTTCCGACTGCTTTCCGACGGCGTACCGGCGGCTTTACATAACTAGTTTATTTTAATAATCAATTAAAATAAAAATTTAAATTAATAATGTTTAATTATAATATTCAGAATTTTTTAATATAAATAAAAAAATACTTAGTTTTAACAGTTTTGCAGAAACGGCGCATTGGTCAGGGGGCGGGCAGCGGGAGAGGAGGTCCACGGTTCGAAACTCAGCGAAGACAGCGCGGGAGCGGGCTCGTTGGCGCACTCGGGCTCGCCTGGCTCACGCGAGCGCGGTCCGACGCGGTCTGGTCCGGCGCGACTCAAAGCCTGGCGCGACCGCCCGCCGGAGCGGGTTGCTGGCGTGCCGCCGGAGCCGCCGGGGAGCGGTTTCAGCGGGAGCGGCCGGTTCTGTTTTTTTTTTTTTTTTAATTTCCACCGGCGGTTTTTGACTGCCGGCAAACCGCCGGTTTTTTTTTGCCGCCGGAAAACGCCGTCGGAAAGTATTTTCCTACGCCGTTTTTTCCGGCGGCTCGAAAGCCGCCGGAAAATTGAAAAACCGCCGGAAATTGCTCAAATTCCGCCGGAAAAAGCCGCCGGAAGTGGGTGATTTTCCTGTAGTGCGACTCCGAATCCGACTTCGCTCCCTCGACAGTGTTCCTCAGTCGAATTGGAAGTAGCGACGGGCGTCACTCGTTGTGAAGCTCGTCTAAAGCTATCCGACCTGCCTTCTCACTCTATCTCTGTCGAATCCATTAACTCCTCTCTTTCATACCCGCCCTTCACCACTCGACCTAACTCGCAAACCACCTCTTTAAGCCAAGATCCTCCTACCCATAGTCGAACCTGAACCCAAATCCTTTGCCCTAGCTGCCATCTCATTACAGTAAAATCACTCATTACCAGCGGTTTGTTCCGGCGGGTAGCATTAAATTTTTGACGATTTTGTAAACCACCGACGACTTTTCAGTGGTTCATATGCCGTCGGTAAAAACCGCGTATGAAACCTTTTCCTACGATTTTCTTCACCGGCAGTTTTCAGGTGATTTATACCGCCGGCTAAGTTCTGACAGTCAGAACGTCGGTGACCGTCGATTTTGTTATTGTTGACCTCAACAACCAACCCAGGAATCTTGAATTTGATAAAGAGAATTCAGTTTGAATGTGGATTTCCTTGGATTTTATTATGCACTGGTGGAAGAAGCAATCAAATGGGGAACGGCAAGCTTATATTAATAGAGTTGTTTTGTACAAAAACATTTCTCTTCTATCTATAGTTGGCCATGGTGGTATAAGAAATACAACTCTCTTACAACATGTTTATGAAGATGAAATGACAAATAAATTTGATCTTAAAATGTGGGTTTGTGTTTCCAACAACTTTGATTTGAAAAAAAAAGTCATTGCGTATATGCTGGAATTTCTTAAGGAGGAGAAGCCTCGTTTGGCAACACTTGAGGCACTTCAAGATAGTCTTCGGGCTAAGATCATGTCCAAAAAGTTCTTACTTGTGCCGGATGGCATTTCGGAGGATGATGAGAAACAAGATAAAAAAAAATAAATGAGAAAATGCGCTCGACCCTCTGTCTTTTGAAAGTTTGGAAAGTGAAATTTTGGTAACAACTCGAACGGACTCGGTTGTACTAATGTTTGCAAAGGTAATCAAAAAGAGGAAGAGGAAATAGTTAAATGAACAAGCTTAGAGAAAGATGAGTGATTGCAGGTCCTCAACTCTCATGCATTTGCGGGTGTAAAGAACCCTTTATGATGATCATAAATTTTTTTTATTCTTTTTCTTGGAGAGATAGTTACAAAAAAAAAAAAAAAAAAAGAGAAGGCTCTTAAAATCTCCATTAGCAGCTAAAGTCATTGGTGGTGTTCTGAAGGACAAATTGAATGAAAGGCATTGGAAGGCAGCTCTAGAAAGCAACTTATTTGAGTCAGAATTCTATCAATTCCATTTTAAGACTAAGCTATAAAGTTCTGCAAAATTATTTCACATTTTTGTTGTATGTTTCACAAGATCATACGTTTGATAAAGATAATTTAGTCTGAATGTGGACTGCATTGGGTGTCGCTCAGCCATCTCAAGGAATGACTATGGAGCATATCGGGGAAGGAATGCAATAAACTTGCGAATAATGAAGAGTCGTCTCTCAAAATTCTTGAGACTATTTGAAACTTGCCCGTTCAAACTCCAAAATCCACACAAAAAAGGGAGAATTGGGAAGTTTAAATATTGAGAAGGTCGAGATGGAAGATTGCAGTAAATGGGAAACTCTTCCTCCTTTCGGACAACTTCGTTGCCTCAAGTCACTAAGATCTGTTAACATGCCAACAGTAAAAGGGCTCGAAGGAGAAACGAGAATGATAAATGGCAAACTAGAGATGTTGCATATTCTCGAATTAGAAATATCAAATGATTGGTTCGAGGCGAGAATAACTACTGAAGATGGATGTTTATTCCCTCGCTCAACTAAGCAGGACCCATTTTATTGCCGGAAGTCAAAAGACAATTCATATTTTATTTCCCTCAAGATGTTAACGGGTATTTGGCTATCCAAATATTTCATCTCTCATCTAGCTGATGAAATAGCAAGACTTGGGGCATCTCCAACCGAAAATGACATTTTTCACTCCAAAATGCAGGGAAATAAAAAAATGTCGTTTTTCTTCTCCAATCCAACGCCATTTTGACGTTAAAACAGTCGTTTTCTTTCGCGCCTTTCTTCCCTAGCTGTTCGGTAGAGAGAAAAAATTGGCGCAGATGAACAGTGCAACGACAATATTGGCGTCGCACTGTTCATCCGCGATCAAATGGCGTCAAAAATGGCGATCGGTTGGAGCAAAGCAAGAACCGCAAACACTTGTTTGCCGTTCGGTTGGAGATGCCCTAAGGCATCTAATAAATACAAGCTACTCCAATTTGATTTCTCTTGGCAGACATGGAGAAGTGAAGGTTATTAATAATGGCCATTTCATGCTTAGCAATTTCATTGTAAGGGATTCATTGGTGCTGCTAATAGATGCTTTGAAAAGCGTCTCCTTCTTAAGAAGATTTATTACCATAGTTAATAATGATAAAGCTTAGACATCATTATTAATTTAGTAAAAAAAATTTAATTTAATTTGACAAAATTAAGAAGATCAGCCAGCTGAAGTCAAACAAGGAAAAGCCCAATCAAATTAAATGGATACATCAGACTGTCCAAGCTCTGAAAAAAAAATCTCTGCCGAATCCCGGATATCCGGTTGAATGGAAACCTCGGACATACGTTTCACCTCGTTTTGGATGAAGCCTTCATCGTTAAATAGAAATGAAACGAGCTCTTCAATGGGTTCCCACGAATTAAGCTCCTGCATACAGTATTCCCTTCGAGCTTTCCTCTGTTGATAGTTTCCAAACTCCATGCCCTAAAGCCGACGTCCAAACCATTCCTATCTCTCCCGATTTTGGCTCCTCTACCCTTCTGCCTTTACCTCTTCTTGCGATAGACTTCCTAAATCACCATCAGATCTCACGCCAAAAGCTCCCTCCCGTCAGACTTCAACCTCTTCCCGTCGACCACCCAAGCCCACGTCGAGCTCCACTTCCTAGTCTTCAGACACCCTCACACCCCGTCACAGTAACCCACCTTCCCCCTCCTTTTATGGGACATCAGTAGTTGCAGAGTTCTTACATAAATTTTAAACTCATTTTTTTATTTATTATTTATTTATTACGAGAAATTGCAACTGCAAGTATTTTTTTTACTTGACATGTCTTCTCGCTCTGTTTCATGTGAGAATCTGCAGTTCTTTCTTTTTTATAAAAAAAAAAAGTATACAACAGTTCTTTTTCCTGTTTCGAGGAAGGGGAGATGGGGTCTAACATGGATTTGTTTATTTTTATTTTATTTTATCAGATATTTCATGTGATTTACTTATTTTCATGCTTGTTAGAGACAAATAAAGGACGATCTAATAAAGAGATGAATATTTCTGTAGTATTCTTAAGCTTTAAAAAAAATTAAAATAAAATAGTGAGCACGTTTTGTTTTTTTTTTTTTTACATTCAAACCATAAAGACGCTTTATCTTTATATCACTTCAAACAACAAAACAATCCACCTCTCTCTCTATCTCTAAGTCACCGTAGACCACTTTTTTTTTTCTCTTCTATGTTAACAAATCTGTA